TGGGATTATGGAAATGAGATCTGGTAGGATTGTTTGTTCTTGGTTAGCTGAGTTTCGGAGTGACTCCTTTCTGTGTTTTTAGCGTCAGCACCGGTCATTTAACAGCCTATCCTGGGCACGCCAACATGGGCCCTTAACAGTCGGCGGGAGAGACACTCTCCTCGCTCGCGTGATTGACACTCGCTCCCGCTGTAAGCAAGCACAGCATCCTCACTTCTTCCTTCCTCCCTTCCTACTTGGAACCAGCTCACGCTTGCCTGCATAGTGGGGTAACGTGTTGTGTGGTGGTAAGTATCAGCCAGGAGGAGCCTTTGACGGTGCTGGGCTTTGCTGGATTCTGTTACAAATGGATCAGTGCTTGACCTATGGTGTCACCTCTGGCAAGTCCTTTTAGCATCGTTCCCTTATGTGACATTTCCTTGTGTCTCTTGTAAGGTTGTAAAACAACATGCAAAGCGGAACTATAGCGCAGCTCTCGTGGAGTTGGGGGATATTTACAGGCTCTCAGGACGCGCGCACAGGCAGAGACGCTCGGAGTTACTTTTGGCAGGCGGCAGATGTGGCAAGCACTATCTTCGGCGTCTTCGACACTGAAAAGTACCTCTAGGATTTTAGTGAAAAATGTCCAAACCAGTGAAAGGATGTTCACACAACATGTCATCCTAGCACATTGACGTGCCCAACATAGGTGTTCGGTGAATAATGTTAAGTGCATTCCATGCATTGAGTTCAAAACAGGCCAAATACCATGAAGCTGAAATTTCAAGGTAGAAAGAACATGGTTACCATAAATTCAAGGGGAAAATGCAGGTTACTAAACAGTGGTAACATATCATGTTTATGATGGACAAGAACAACAAGCTCACTCCACTCATAGAGAAGAGACTGGGGAGTATGCAACGTGTCGGTAAGTGGGTTGTTCTGACATGGTGTATTTGTGGGTAATTATTTTTCTTGTTTAAATACATTTCCTAGATTTTCCTTACAAATGAACTTATTTTTACTTAGTAAGAAAAATGAAAATTACTGTTTTAAAAAGAAGTTCTGATAAAATTCAAGACGATCAAATAAGAGGATCCTCTTGTGGTCATAAGTTCGTGGGTGGGGTGTAGGTCTTGAATGACATTTGATTGCTTCTTGGCAGAGCATATTCACTCTGTCCTTTCATCGAGCGTGGAATCAGCCTGAAAAGCAGCTGGTGCCTCGCGAGTTGGCCTCACTGCATGGATCTGGAAGTTGAGGGACATGTGTGCGCTTCAGCCTGATGACAGCAGCAGGTAATCAGTCCCAGATTCCTCACTTGGTTACGGACAAAACAGTTACCGCTATGTTAAAGGTCAGAGCACTTCCGGCTTGTACATGTCCTGTGCTCTGTAGTTACCAGCATTCCAAAAAGGAGGGGCTTTTTGTTTTGCTTTGGGCTAAATTATAGTAGCTAGATTCCAGTGTAGCTTCTCAGAATTAGACTGAGACTTCTAAGTCACGTTTGAATTCCGTATTTTTGACTGTTTTATCGTTCCTTGGTTTTAGGGATCCTTGTTTCAGGATCCTATTCCAATGGTTCTCACTCCTGACTGCAGCGAGTAGAGTCAACCTGTTGATGTTAAAACTACCAACAGCTGCGCCACCTACAGAGATGCTTGATTTCCTTGTCTAGAACAAAGCCTGGACGATCTGTGGTTTTTTTTTTTTTTTTTTTTTGAGACAGAGTCTCACTTTGTTGCCCAGGCTAGAGTGGAGTTGCTGGGGTCAGCCTAGTCACAGGCAACCTCAAACTCCTGGCTCGATGATCCTTTGCTGAGCCCCCGGGTAGTTGGCATACAGGCATGCGGCCACCATGCCGCTAATTTTTTATACACTATATCAGTTGGCCAATTAATTTCTTTCTTTTGTTAGTAGAGACGGCAGGTCTCGCTCTTGAAAAAAAAAAAGTTTTTTTCCTTGGGGCCACAGTGTTTTATTACAAAAATAGAATAAAAACTTTGAAAACAAAATAATCCTTTCTAATTTAATGAAAAATTTGTTATTTTTTATTGTTTTCTATGTGTGAGTTACATGCAACTTGAAAAATAAGTTCTCGCAGTACCCAGGTTGAAGAGACATGTGAGTTTCATATGCTTCACAAGGCTCTGGCCTCAAAACCAGCACGTATTAAATACAACTCACATGGCAGTTAATGTGTTAAGTTAGTACAGTTTATTTCTATTTTAGAAAGTGGTTTGGTTTAAGGGTGGTAGCTACTCTGCGTTGCCTTCTGAGATGGAGCCTGTGGCCATTTGACCCAAGTTCTAGCTGAGGGAACCTTGGACAAGGAGGTAGGCCATTGGGGAAGCAGAAGGGAGGAATATAAACCATAAGGCTTGGGTTCTACTCTCAGAGATGCCACAGGGGTGGGCTTTTGACACCAAGGCATTTTCTAACCTCCTGAGCTCATGAGCTCAGCTGTCAAATGAAAGTGTGTTGGTTGGACTCCTCTGATTTCAAACAAAGAGACCCAAATTATGGACTAGATTGAGCAGGCTGTTGGGAATCAAGGCAGTGCTGGGCCTGGATGCATTGCCTGTCCCTGCCTTGCTGAGCCCCTTACCTCGACTCTTCCTTACCTCCTTGATACTCCCTCATTTTCAAATGGGGGGGGGATCCGACGGCATTAGTTAATCACCAGTTGTTTTGGAGCTTCTTTGTAAGGCCACAGATGGCCCACGCATAAACCCTGCTCTGTCGCTTCCAATGGCTGCTTATTTCATTAGAGGATGTGGTAACTGGCAGATACCAAGAGGCACTGTGGCCCATCATCATCATCACCACTGCAGCTGCTGCTTGTGAATGCTTACTAGATACCACACATGGTGCTAAATACCTTACATGCATTATTTTGTTTAACCCTCACAGTAGTCTCCTGTGTACATGCTGTTCCCTCTGCCTAGAAATACTCTTCCCCCTCACCCCAGTTCTTCTTATGGCTGATTTCTTTCAGATCTTAGTTCAAATCTCATCTTTCCTGACCAACCTAAGATAACTTCCCACTACCATCCATCATTTTCTATCCCCTGAGTTTTTTCCTTCTTCATTGTACTTAGTACTATCTGAAATCATATTTGTTGACATTTTTGCCAATAGAAGCTTCATAAAGGTTTTATGCAGACTCACTACTGTCCCTCATATGGGCCTTAAAACCCAAGACCCTGCCAGGTGTAGTGACTCATGTCATAATCCTGGCATTGTCGGAGGCAGAGGTGGGAGGATTGTTTGAAGTCAAGAGTTCAAGACCAGCCTGAGCGACCATGGTGAGACCCCCCCCATCTCTATAAAAATTAGAAAACCTGGCTGGGTGTGGTGGCGAATGCCTGTAGTCCCAGCTACAGCAAGGCAGGAGGATTGAGTGAGCCCAAGAGTTTGAGGTTACTGTGAGCTATAATGATGCCACTGTACTCTAGCCTGGGCAATAGATCGAGACACTGTCTCAAAAAAAATACCTAAGACCCAAGCCATGAAAGCCAAGTGCCAGGCCCCAGACATGCAGCTCAGCTTACAATTTGTCTTTCTCTTTTCTCTTCTTTCTGGATTCATCCTTTTTCTGTGAGCCTAGCAATGGTTTAACCTTTTTTTGGTCATATTTGGTTATATTTAATATAGCATTTTGAGGATTTAGAATTGATACCTTTGGTATTAGCTCAGTCTACCATGCTGCTAGAACCAGAAGTAGATGTATATAACCCTGTGTAGTATTTCTTATGCACACTGACATTTGAGACCCACTGAGGTCAAAGAAAGAAAAGAGGATCATAATATACATACAAGTCTTGGCCCTCAAATCATTGTGCCTTCTCATAACTGAGGATGGGGGAGTGGGTGGATTATTTTGTCATCTTTTTTGTTCCTACTTGCTTAATGGGCTTTACTCCATTATATTTAAATATTAAGCCCCTGTACCTTTGAAAGTATTTATAGTTTTGTTTATGTGAAAGTTAAAGGAGATGATAGATGTGAAAGCTTTTAGCACAGGAACTGGCTCAATAAATAATTGGCAGATTTGAATACAAATTCTACTTGGTTTGAATCACATCCACACAGTCCTTTGAAAAATTACCAGAAAAAATCTTGGGCCAACTACTTCCTGTCTTTCTAAGTGAGCATTTCCTGTTGTGGCCCTGCTAATGAGTCCCCATGCCGGGAGCCTTGGAACATAAGTTTTGTGACTAGAGTTAGAGTGCTGGAGTGGCTGAATGCTTAGAGATCTCCCCCAGCACCACCCACACCCCCAGAAAATACCACAGCCTGCTGAGGATATTGCTGCTCCTGTGCACCCCGACCCAGGATGAAGCTGAGGGCTGACTGTACATTTGTTCTATGGATGCATCAGCTTAGTGCCGGATTATCCTAGTGCAGTGCACATTTTCACCTGCTATGAAACCTGTTAATGAAGTCATCTGATCTCTTTCTTGAATAATAAGTACTGAATATAAATAACTAAATATAAGTACATATATTTAGAAAATAAATACAGTTCTAGACTGTGGTTATCTACATTGCCTGTAGGACTTGCATACTGTTCCAAAAGTTTTATAAGGTGAGAAGAAAGTACTTGTTACCCCCTCCCCCCAAGTATAAAAAGTTCTAGTAAATCCTGCAGAAATTCTGGGATTCTTGAAAGCATTAGCTCTCTCAACACTGATTCTAGTTCTACTTTCTTCTTACCTTGTTTTGATCTTTAATGTTAGACCTGTGTTTATCCATTATTATTAAAATTATTATTTTAATGTACTAGTGTCAAATATCTTATAAATGACAGTGTACTCAGAGGGCTGGTTCATAATTTCTAGGAATTTTACTAAACCCTTGATTTTTGTTTGTCTAGCAATTGAAATTAACCTTTGAATTTTTTAATGTGTTATTTACAAAATAGAGCATCTCTAGCCTATTTTTCAAACTCACTATTTCATTTTGTAGATGTGTGGAATTTAATATTACTTGGTAATACCAGACTTCCATTTTTGCAGGTGGAAGATGAACTCAGTTCTCCAGTAGTGGTGTTCAGATTTTTCCAGGAATTAATAGGCTCAGGTATTTGATTTTTAAAAGAGGATTATTTTCATATCTGTAATTAAGGGCTTTGAATTTTATACCATTTCAAATTAAATAGTCTAAAATATCTTTATTGCTAAAATTATCAGTCATCATTTCAGAAAAATTTAATAATATTTACAAGAACTTCAGTCCTGAATGTTTTAGCATTTTGCTGATAGTTTGCTGTGATTAAACCAGTGGATCCCAAATGCCAGTCCCTGGGCCAGTGCTGGAGTGGTTGAGAAAGAGTCATTTGAAGATATGGATTTTTAGGCCCTGTTTCCCACATATTTTGATTCAGTAGATTGGACCCAGGAAGCTCCATTTTTAAAAAATGTCCCATTTGGTTTCTGTAATACATGAGACTATTCCCTTGCGTTAATATTGGGATTAGTGAAATGAGATTGGTAGGATGTTTGTTTTGGTTAGCTGAGTTTCTGGGAGTGACTCCTCTTTCTGTGTTTTAGCGTCAGACCCGGTATTTAAAGCTATCCTGGCACCCAACATGGCACCTTCAACAGTCGGCCGGGAGAGACACTCCTGTGACGTGTTGAATCGCTGGGTAAGAAAGAAAGTCATCTCCTTTTTCTTTTATATCTGGAGCATCACCGCCTGCCCTGATAGTGGGGGTAACGTGGTTGTGTGTGGGAAATCAGCCTCAGGAGGGAGCCTCCTTGAAGGTGCTGGGCTTGTTCTGGGATTCTGTTACAAATTGGATCAGTGCTTGACCTACTGTGTCACCTCTGGCAAGTCCTTTTAGCATCGTTCCCTTATGTGACCATTTCCTTGTTGCCTTGTAAGGTTGTAAAACAACATGCAAAGCGTGAACTATAGCGCAGCTGCTCTGGAGTTGTGGGGAGTATTTACAGCACTCTCAGGAGGCGCACAGGCCAGAGACCGCTGAATACTTTTGGCAGGCTGGCAGTGTGGGTCAAGCACTTATGCTTCGGCAGCTCTTTCGACACTGAAAAAGTACCTCTAGGATTTTAGTGTAAAGAATGTCCCAAACAGTGAAAGGATGTTCACCACAACAATGTCAGTCCTAGCACATTGGACGTGCCCAACATAGGTGCTTGGTGAATAAGTTATAGTGCATCCATGCATTGGAGTTCAAAACAGCCATTGTAAACCATGAAGCTGAATATTTAAGGTAGAAAGAAATGGTTACCATAAATCAAGTGGGAAAATGCAGGTTACTAAACAGTGTAGAATATCATGTTTTATGATGACAAAACATATACTCACTCCACTCATAGAGAAAAGACTGGGGGGAGTATGCCAAGTGTCAGTAGTGGGTGTTTCTGAATGGTGTATTGTGGGTAATTATTTTCTTCTTTTGCTTTAAATACATTTCCTAGATTTTCCTACAATGAACTTATTTTTATTAGTAAGAAAAATGTAAAATTTACTGTTTTTAAAAAGAAGTTTCTATAAATATTCAAAGACAATCAAAAGAGGAGCCTCTTTGGTCTAAGGCTGCGTGGGTGAGGGTAGGTCTTGAAGACATTTGATGCCTTCGTTGCAGGAGCATATTCACTCTGTCCTTTCCCTGCAGCTGGGAGAACAGCTGAAACAGCTGGTGCCTGCGAGTGGCCTCACTGTCATGGATCTGGAAGTTGAGGGCACATGTGTGCGCTTCAGCCCTTTGATGACAGCAGCAGGTAACTAGTCCCAGATTTTCCTCACTTTCGTTCTGGGGACAAACAGTTACCGGTATGTTAAAGTCCAGGCATTTCCCTTGTAATGTCCTGCTCTGTAGTTACCAGCATCTCCAAAAAGAGGGGCTTTTTGTTTTCTTTGGGGCTAAATTTAGGTAGACTAGCATTCCAGTGTAACTTCTCAGAATTAGACTGAGACTTCTGAAGTCACTTGAATTCCTATATTTTGATGTTTTAGGATCCTTGGTTTTAGGATCCTTGTTTTAGGATCCTATTCCAATGGTTCTCACTCCTGACTGCACAGTAGAGTCACCTGTGGAGTGTTAAAACTACCAACAGCTGCCCCACCTACAGAGATGCTTGATTTCCTTGATCTAGAACAAAGCCTGGAGATCTGTGTTTTTTTTTTTTTTTTTTTGAGACAGAGTCTCGCTTTGTTGCCCAGGCTAGAGTGAGTGCCGTGGCGTCAGCCTAGCTCACAGCAACCTCAAACTCCTGGGCTCGAGTGATCCTTCTGCCTCAGCCTCCCGGGTAGCTGGGACTACAGGCATGCGCCACCATGCCCGGCTAATTTTTTATATATATATCAGTTGGCCAATTAATTTCTTTCTATTTGTAGTAGAGACGGGGTCTCGCTCTTGCTCAGGCTGGTTTTGAACTCCTGACCTTGAGCAATCCGCCCGCCTCGGCCTCCCAAGAGCTAGGATTACAGGCGTGAGCCACCGCGCCCGGCCGAGATCTGTGTTTTTAAAAGGTCCCCTGGTGATTCTAATAGGCCAGTGAAAGTTGAGAAACCACCATTTTAGACATTTGAGAAAGCAGTATAGCTGAAAGTATGTGGATTCCTATGACAGAAAGTCCTAAGTACATGTCCTCTTCTTTCACCTCATACCTGTGGGTTCAAGTTTCTTGATCTCCAGACCTGTTCCCCACCACACCATGGTAGTGATGTGCAGACTGAAATGCAATCATGTGTATGAAATGCCTTAGGTGTGCTTGGCATATCATAATAAGCACTTAAAAACAATCTGAAAAAAGAGATATTAAGTATTTGGTTGTGCTTTTTTTGCAAAATTACTTCAACATTTTGAGAAAATGTGGTTTTTCATAAGCTGTTTTCAATATTTTGGGGAAGATGTTTTCTCAAAGACATCAAAATAAGAAAGTGCAGGCATTTTCTTAGCCATCGTGAAGATTGCCCTAGAAGTTTAGTCTTTGAAACTGGAAAATCAGGCTGTCGACACCAGGGAAGTGAGGTAGCCAAGCTGTTGGAGCCCTGAGACATCTCAAGGACTGACCTTGAAGTGACTTGGTGCTGTCACCATCTCCCTGCCCTTCTCATGTGGGGGCACAAACCACCAAGATACTTTTCTCTCTCATTGTAATCACGTAAAGAGAGAATCTGGAGTATGATGTTTATAACCTGCTTGAAGCAGGCTTTCTGTGAGAAAAGTCTGATTTCTACATTGGAATATTTCATTGTATATCAAATATTTTTATGAAAGAAAAACTTCTACACCTGGAACAGCGGCTATGTTAATCTTTAACACCTGATTCTTCCATATCTGGGTTGAGTGGCTTTTAAAAGTACAGGCTGGGTACAGTGGCTCACACCTGTAATCCTAGCAGTTTGGGAGGCTGAGGCGGGCGGATTGCTCGAGGTCAGGAGTTCAAAACCAGCCTGAGCAAGAGCGAGACCCCATCTCTACTATAAAAATAGAAAGAAATTAATTGGCCAACTAATATATATATATATAATTAGCCGGGCATGGTGGCGCATGCCTGTAGTCCCAGCTACTCGGGAGGCTGAGGCAGAAGGATCGCTTGAGCCCAGGAGTTTGCGGTTGCTGTGAGCTCTGACGCCACGGCACTCACTCTAGCCTAGGCAACAAAGCGAGACTCTGTCTCAAAAAAAAAAAAAAATGAGGAAAACAAAGTCCTCAGTTTCAGCTAATTAGATATACCTGGAGCTCTTACCTTTCCCAGTAGTGGAAGGGGCACCCTGCTCTCTCATTAGCCATCCTGTAAGTGTTTCTCTAACACTCTGTGAACATCTTCAGTTTTAGGAACCCGAGGAGAGGATGTGGATCAGCTTGTAGCCTGCATACAAAGCAAGCTGCCAGTCCTGAGCTGTACACTGCAGCTGCGAGAAGAGTTCAAGCAGGAAGTGGAAGGAACGGCAGGTCTCTTATATGTTGACGACCCTAACTGGCCTGGAATAGGGGTTGTCAGGTAAAGTTTTAGCTTCCCAATTGCTATTAGAGACTTTGCTGCATAACGAACATGGGTGGATCATTTTGTGAACCAGCTTAGAAATCCAGGAGGAATCTGTGTAGTCACTTGTATACTTGTCTAATGAAATGTGTACTTATCTAATGAAAATTCAACTGGATTTTCTGGGCATTTACAGTAGCACAGTGCAGGCAGATGACTTGGCCCCCAGTGTGCTCCGTGAGGTCAGAATTGCTGTATGTTGTCTTTATGGGCCAGTTCTCAAGTACCTAGGAAAAGATATAGATGGGTATATTTAACAGACAAATGGTTACTCTCCAGGGTATACAGACCATTACAAATCAGTAAGGAAAAAACTCCAATTCCCCAAGGAGAGAAAATTCCAGTCCTCTCTAGTTCAGTGTGTGCCGTCCTATGGCTGCTTTCCAGCTCTTGTAAAGATGAGTCAAGTATCTTTTTATTGCAACTGATGAAACTTTCAGACCTTGCCTCTCTCATGTTCACAGACCTGAGACTTAGGCTTTCCTGTGACATTCTTGAAAGTTTTTGGTCTTGAGACACTATCAGTAGCTCTTTTACCCATGTCTCATTCCATAGTCTTGATAATCTCTGTACTTTATACTCCTGTAATCCTGTGTCTGGAAAGACATTTCATCTTTTAGATTGAAATGATGTTTGATATTGTTTATAGGTATGAACATGCTAATGATGATAAGAGCAGTTTGAAATCAGATCCTGAAGGGGAAAAAATCCATGCTGGACTCCTGAAAAAGTTAAATGAACTGGAATCTGACCTTACATTTAAAATGGGTAATTATTTTTATAAAGCAACTGTGACCTTTGGAAGGACATTTTCTAACTGGCTTCAAGGAAAATGGGTTTGATATATTTGGAGGAAACTGGTTTAGTTCTAGGTAGAAGGTGTGGTTCTTCCAGCTTGGCAGGGGTTTTGTGTGGGCATGCTATTGTGCAGGAAAGTGGGCTGTGTCTCACAACAGAGGACCTGGAAACCAAGTTTGTCTATTGTTTCTTCCTACAGGCCCCGAATATAAAAGTATGAAGAGCTGTCTTTACATTGGCATGACGAGTGACGACACAGACATTTCTGAGCTTGTGGAGACCATTGTAGTCACAGCGCGGGAAATTGAGGAAAACTCAAGGGTCTGTAAAAGTATTCAGTGTTTTGACCCTTTTCTGGGTTTTGTTAAAATTAGCAGGGGTCACAGAAAAGACACCCTTAGGGATGTCCATTCATTCTTTCCCAAAAAGTTTATAAATGTTTCCGGTGAGCTAGGCATTGAGCCAGGCATCAGGAATGCCTGGTGGGTTTGACATAGCCCCTACCCTCAGCGAGCTCACAAGCCAGTGTGGGGAAGAGATACATGTAACACGCATGTCAGTGCTGTGGAATATGGGTCAGGGTAGCTGAGCATTCAAGAAGACACGTTCACCTCTGCCTGCCAAGGTCAGGGAAGACTAATTGGAGCTGGGTCCTGAGGGTGATTGAGACGGTGTTTCTGATTACAGGACTTCCCGCCAGTAATAAGTAGATCTGCTTCTTTTGGTCAGTTGGCAGGGAGCACTGGCTCCAAGGATTAAAGAATGTTCTCCTAAGCAGATAATTCCCTAGAAATCACTCCAAAGGAAAGGAAAGGGACCATAGTAAGACTGGTCTGAGAGGAGATAGAAACACATGTCAGGTGATTCACTTTTGGCAGAGTGGGGAAGAGAAGGAAGTTTGGAATGAGGCAGAGGAGCCAGCTTTATTTGTTCTTAGGTGGGCTGCTTGAGGTTTCTCCCAAACCTGACTATATTCTGATTTTGTCTTCATGAATGTTGAGCAGCATGTTTGTTTTGTATGGATATGACATTGAGGTTATAAGTAGTTATTGCTTCTCTGTTGTTTGGCAAATGAAGCTGGTCCCCAAGATATGTCTGCCCAGGCCTCCATGAGCATTTTATCCTCTTCTATTTGATTTTCTATTTTATTTTTACATTGGCGTTTAAATGCAGGATTCTATTTACTGACAGACTTTTGAAGAATGTCCCCAGTGCTGTGTTACTAGTTCTTCTAGGCCCTGGGCAAGAAGCTTAGACAAGTAATACCTTTCCTGGTCCTAACACAGCTTCTGGAAAACATGACCGAAGTTGTTCGGAAAGGAATTCAGGAAGCTCAGGTTGAGCTGCAGAAGGCAAATGAGGAACGACTCATGGAAGAGGTGAGGCTACTGATGGGACTTCCTGGCTGGGAGTGGGACTCAACAGGATGCTCCTGAGCACTGGTTTGTTTTGCAGGGAGTGTTGCGGCAGATACCTGTAGTGGGCTCTGTGCTGAATTGGTTTTCTCCAGTACAAGCTTTGCAGAAGGGAAGAACTTTTAACTTAACAGCAGGTATGACTAACTGGCTGCCACCAAATCTCATTTACCTTGAGAGTTTTGACCAAGGCCCTTGGGTTCCAGTGCAGCCCATGCCAAGTAGCCCTTTAGAGTTCCAGTTCTTTATCACTGGCACTGTGTCAGGAATCCAAGGCCATGAGGTCTGTCCCTGCTGCTGTCATCCTCCTCCTGCCCTGACAGCTGAAATAGTACGAAAGCACATACCCATTCCCTACTCCAAGCACACTTCTCTTCCTTGAATCCAGTGAATTCAGCTGTTCAGACTCTCAAGGTATTGTGTCTTGGACAATTTAGTTCAAGGTTAATATTCCTTGTAGTCCTTATTGTTTTGCCCCAGCAAAGGGCTGCTTTTGAAAGGGGAAATTCAAAGACTGTAGTATGTAGCACTGGGACATTTCATTTTAAACCAGGCAACCAGCAAGTATTACCAGTTGCTGGAGTTTGAGGAAGATATTAGTGATTCCTCCTTTCCTGTTCTACCAAGGAAATAATTTCCTAAACCCACGGTTTCTGCCTTTGTTCCCTCCCCAGGAAGTGATGACTACATTGTCATGAAAGCAAAAGATAATCTGATTTTTAATCTCCCAAGCCTCAGCTTTTAGTAAAGAGACATCCGTTTCTCATTGCTAAAGTACATTTGCCAGTTGGGCCTGGTTCGCCAGGCACGCTTGTGCCACACTGCTGGCTCACTGTTCACAGTACTCAGGAGACTTGGCAGGGCTGGGGCTTGAGAGCCAAGATGACTTTCTATAGTCCTTGGCATGTTTCAAAAGTGCCCAAGTCTTCACCAGGCTGTGGCCAGCTGGATGGCTGGAAGAAGCTTGTTGGGGAACAAGGCTGTGTGAGAGCAGGCGGCATCTCCCAGGGCAGCCTGTGCCAGAAGCTTCTGCCCACCCCTCTCCTTCCTTTTCCCGTAGGCTCTCTGGAGTCCACAGAACCCATCTACGTCTACAAAGCACAGGGTGCGGGAGTAACACCGCCTGCAACCCCCTCAAGCATTCGCACGAAACCGAGACTTCCAGGTACATCTTCACGATTGAGTTCATTAACACTAAAGAAAACCAGTAGTATTTCTCTTAGGAAAATAGCCCTTTGCAGCATGTAAGAGTTTCCCCCCATTTGCTGTTACTTGCACTGTTTTGTTTCCTGCGTTCTTTAACTCAAAGACCTCTTTCTCTTAAGACCAAATATTACTGTCTATTTAAATAACCATTTCAGTAGCCTGGGGTTTATGACCTTGGTTAGCACCCCAAGGGTCTGGAGAGATGGCATTATTTTAACCGTGGTGTTTATCCTCCTGAGGATTTCCTAGGATTGGCCTCGGAAGTTCCCAGTCTGGGAAGCATGTTGGTGTCAGAATAGCAGCTTTCAGTTCTCTCCTAGACTGCCTCAGAGCCAGCAATTCCAGGGATTTCTACTAAAGCAGTTATTGTTACGGTAGTTGCTTGTCACAGAAGTGTTGCCACCAAGCTTTCAGCGCTCTCTGTTCTTCCCTTAGGCCAGAAGCCTTTTAAAAGGTCCCTGAGAGGTTCGGATGCTTTGAGTGAGACGAGCTCAGTCAGTCACATTGAAGACTTAGAAAAGGTGGAGCACCTGTCCTGTGGGCCAGAGCACATCACTGTAGAGGCCAGCAGCCCTGAGGGACACCCAGGGGCTCCCATCCCAGAGAAGGCCGACCAGACTGCGGCCCAGTGCCCAGAAGATGGCTGCCCACAGGTAGAAGAACCGGAGAGCTTAAGATAAAACTCAGTGTCTGGTTTGAGACTGTACTGAATGTTGTTTCAGGGAAGATGAAGTTGTATTGAAAATGTGAACTGTGCCACACACTAAGTTACTGCTATTTGTGCTTAACTGGGATTTTGCACAAATATGTGCCTGAAAGCCAGGCTTTCTAGGAGGGCAATCATTCTGTCTAATTTTATGTGTATGTAGAACAACCAATAACTATTGTTTCCGTCCTACTCAGCTGTAATGATACCATTTTTCCCCCAAGTTGCCGTAAACACTTAGAATTTCAAGTGCCTGCCACTTGAAACACTTGCTCTTATCTTTCTAAATGTACACATAATGAGTTTTTTGGTTGCAAATAATAACCTTTTGTTAAAACAGCTTTTGTTAGAGCTCTCTGGGTTCTCCGCTGTACTTTGGCGGGGTGAGCCAGCCGGCCAGCGCTCTTTGCCATCTGTTTCAGTTGGTCCTTAGTACACACCTGGACTGTTGGGCTTAAAGGAGAATGGGTTTCCTCTGGATTGTAAATAAGAGTGGCAGAAGCTCTCACCTGCTACGCCCAGCTGCTGCTCTTCCTGAAGACATAAGGACTGTGTCCACTTGAGCTGTGGCAAAGTTTCTGTCTGGGACTGTCCTCTGCCATAAATCCATTTCTCCCTTTATATACTCTTTGGAAACAAATTTATTAAGAGCAACTGTAACGTCTCTTCCTGACCATATATATGTATATTTTTAAATACTGGCTTTTAAATTGGCACACAAGTACAGACTGCTTATTTCTATGTTTAATATCTGAAAACCTGATAGAGGCTACCCTTAAGAGCCTACTATTAAATATGTTGTGTAGCACCTACTTAGGTTTAAGTTCTAAAATGTACCTTTGACCTGTCCCACGTCGAACTGAAGCCTCTGTGGCTTCTGCTCCACTAGCAGCTCACCCCTAGGGCTCAGCTCAGAAAAGAACCAGAAGAGTAATTGTTCTCGGGCTGATCAAGCCAGACTACTTGCTGATTATTGTTATAAGCTCTTAATTACTGCCCGTTTCTACTTTTCCAAAGTACTGCATCACTTCATTTATCCTAATGGCCCCTGTGCCTTTTAGTCCAACAAAGTCAAGCTATGGGAGATGTTAAAATGGCGGGGAATTTATACTGGGTTTGTGGACCTGTAATATTGGAAGCCTTAGTTATACCATGTTAAGCCTATAATTACATTCTGATTTGATGTGATTTTTGGCACTTGTCAAAATGCAGTTTTCCTTTTTTAAAGACGATTAAACAAAGTCTTCCCTGTTTATTTGGTGCAATGAAGTATAACAGATAAAATGGGGGAGGGGTAAATTATCAACTTTAACAAGATTAATTTTTAAATGTTTTTATATATTTGGAATTGTTAAATTGGTTTTGCTGAAACATTTCACCCTTGAGATACTATTTGAATGTTGGTTTCAATAAAGGTTCTTGAAATTGTTACCAGTGAATTCAGTTTATAAATCTTACTATTAATTGGGCATGGTGATTTCCTTTTATAATAGATAGCAACTTTAGAAAAACAAAAGGTTTCTGAAAATATTAAGTGCATAATTACCACAATTTTGACATTTTAATGACCTTATAAGAACAGATTTATCAGTGGCTTTGTATAAGTCTGAGATGATCTATTTTAGAGATAATTATATTGGACAACAGTGAGATCAAAGCCTGTTTTTCTTTCTGAAACTTTCATCTATCTAGAAAGAGTTGTTTTGGATTTGAAGCTTCTAAAATACTCTAGGGACAAAAACACATCTCTAAGATATATAAATTCTCACTGAATTTTAAATATTGTTTCAAACAAACTCAATTACAACTTTTACTTTATTCACTAATTTAGTAGAATTAGAAACACTTACCTAAGTATTTGAAAATAGTTGCTTATAGACCAGTGAGACAGGTAGGTTCTCCTCTGCCCGTTACTACTGACCAAAAAAGAAAAGGCTGGACATCAACTTTTTTTAGTAAAGCAAAAAGTAAATCTAAACAAATGCCTTTGCCAAAATAAGATTTTATTTTGAAAGTTACCTGAAAGACACCAAGTAAGGAAGGAGACCTAAGACTCAAGGGATGTAGGTTCCAAATCCATATTCCTTCCAGTCCCTACCAGTGGTCTTTGTCATGCCAAAAAGTTGCTTTATCTGATAATTCCTATTTTTAGCTTCCTGGAGAAGAGATCTTTTCCCATAAGCCACCATCTTCATTTTTTTTGTAGAGTAGAGCTTTATTTCCAGGAAACAGTGTGTTAGTTGGAGATGGGTATTTTTTTAAAAACATCAAGGTAGATCTAATATGTTCAACAAAGTGGGGGGGCTCGGCCAAAGGTGAAGTGGAAAAGTTCTGAAAAAACAAGATTAGGGGCAGGAGAGAAGAGTCACCTTGCTATTCCTTACTTTGATAAAGATGTCAAAGTGTTCTCAGATCACTATATATATATAGTAAGGAAAGAAATATATATATAGTAAAATAAGAATGAGGTATACCAGGTTAATGAGAAAAAGGCAGTTGATTATTTACTCTTCACCTGTACACATGTCTATTCAGGACACTACTCATCCCCAATTAACACATAAGTTCAATGGGCTCTGGCAATGGCATTCAAAAAACAAATACTACCCACTTAGGAGAGGCAGATATTATCCAGTCTAAACCCTTTTTTTTCTTACAGATGGGGAAACCAGGGTCCAGAGATGTAAGACTTACCCAACCTGTAAATTCTCACCTCTAGTATTTGCTTATCATCTTGCTGCAACCAGAAATCCACATGTGGAAATGGCACCCAGGAAAACGGTTCTATGCGAAGTTGTTCTGTCTTTGCATCGTAGATGCTAATCATCTAAAGAACATTTCAAGGATAGAAGTTAAGGAATGTTACTACCCACTCCTCAAACCCTACCATTAATGCAAGCTCCAGTGTAGTCTAGTATTTAAGGCATTTATCTGGATGATAAGCTTCTTAAAGATTTTGTCTTGAACAACAACAAAAGCTGCCACCTACTGAACACTTCCAATGTGTCTGCTGCTGCGCTCTGTGGGTAACATACGTTATTGTGTTTGGTCCCACAACAATCCTGCAAGAAGGTGGCATTTTTTCCCAATTGGGGTGAAAACTTGACTCAGAGGGACAGGGCACATTTCCCAGGTCACGTGTCCAGTAAACCTCAGAGCTGAGCCTCAAACCAGGTGTCGCTGACGAAAGACCATGCTCTTCATTGCTACATAAAACATTGCCTTATTATTTATACCAAAAGCAACTAATTACCTTGCAATTTAAAAGCACACAATGCCTGCTGCCTCATCAAAAGAAAGGAAAAGCCAACTTGTTAAAAAAGCTACCTTGCCAAACGATCAACTCCCTGAATTCCCAAATTTGCTGATGGCAGGTTCCAGCTTACCCAGCAATATGCAACTGTGGTCACTGAGACTGAACTATGTTCTGAACGTTAACTACATTAAGGCCATTATGCTACTTGAGAAATTACAAGAAGAATCCTGAAAAGGTTACAGTGTTGGCAAAACAAATCATTCTAAATCCAAACACATTTTCCAATACAAATGTCAGCATTTCATAAATGAGCAGATTTCTTTTGGGTGCACAGAATATGACTTCTATTTTTTCACATTTTGAGCATTTTAAAAGAATTCTTTCACCCATTCCTCAAGAGGCATGTTGAGTCTTAGGTTTTCCTTTTCTTTTCTTTTTTTTTTGAGACAGAGTCTTGCTCTGTCCCCTAGGCTGGAGTGCAGGGGCATTATCCTAGCTCACTGCAACCTCAAATTCCTGGGCTCAAGCGATCCTCCTGCCTCACCTCATGGGTAGCTGGGACTACAGGCTCTTACCACCACACCTGGCTAATTTTTTCCATTTTTTGTAGAGACAGACAGGGTCTTGCTATGTTGCCTAGGCTAATCTCAAATTCCTGGCCTCAAGTGATCCTCCCTCCTCGGCCTCCAAAGGTGCTGGGATTATAGGCATGAGCCACTGTACTTGGCTGGGTTTTTATTTTTCTAACTTTTAAAATTAGCATGTTATTTAACCAAAAAGCACCCTAAGGAAATCAGACTTTAAAACTGATTTGATCATTCTTTTGGGTTAATTGTTCCAGCAAATTGCTCTTAAATGACTTGCCCCAAAAGAATGCATGGTCCCAAGTGCAGAGAGGTAGAAACCTCTCCTCTCTTTGTAGGAACTTTCTATGGAATGTTGCTACAAAGAAAAAAGGTTCGTCCTATTATATTTGGATCTGGATGCTGTGGGTTCACAAATACCTCCTGCTGCACCTTGTAAGGCCGAGAACTGGGATCTGGAGCTTATGATCTAAAAACGGTCATTACTCTTCTAAGGGGGGGATGGTCCCTGATAATTTACAGCTTTAAGGAGGCTGACCTAAACTTCTCATTTCTAAGATCTGTAAAACTTAAAGCTTTGGCATTTGATGCCTTTTTTACTCCTTCACTCAAAGATGATTTCAAACTCACCGGTCCTCCTGTTAAAGCCCGTGCAGCACGCAGCTCCTCCTCCGGACCTCGGTCTTGAAAGGCGGCTCTGTAGATCTCCGCAGTTTTAACGTTAACAGCTGCGAGGGAAACAGGATGAGTTTGAACTGACAAAAGACCAAAGTGGAGAGTCTACATGGTCTCCCATGTCCACCCCCATACCTATGAGACAGAGAAAAGAATGGAAATGGCGCAAAATGCTCCTAATTAGCTGCAGCTCCCCCTTCCTGGAAAGGGAAAATGCAAGCTCAGTGCATCTCACCGTGCATCTCAGTGCAAACAGCTGCAGGCCTGAGTTGGGTTAGGTAAAACTTTGTTCTAAACCAAGAGCTGCCCCCACGGGAGCAGTCTGTCCTCCCTGCGCATGTGTGGCCGTCTCCGGGCTCCGCACTGCTTGGGCGTGGCTGGAAGCAGGAGGGTAGGCAGTGGTCCCCGCAAAGGCTGGTGTTTTTGTTTGAATTTTTATGATTTAGAGCTTTACACATACACAAAGTCACGGAGAGAAAATGATGAGCACCTGTGTACCTACCATCCAGCTAAGCAAACAAAACATTACAGATAGGGTAGAAGCCCCCTGCAAATATTTCATGCTGTCTCCTCAGGAGTCCCAGGGGCTGTGACAGGAGGGAAGAGGGGTCTAGGTTTTCTTTAGCCTGATCATTTTCCACTTTCTTTTTATAGGATCTTAGTTCTTAATCAAAACCGTACTTGGTTCCTGGTGTAGTAATATAAAAAGATTCAAATGCCCGCTCCCGCCCCATAGGGGAAAGCACACCCGGCCCCCTGACACTCAGCCGCCAGGCGGCGGAGGGCACAGCCTCTGCTTTACATTTGCGACCTTGTTTTCTCTTCGCAGTCTTAGGGTGTGTACATCATTTGCATTTTGTAGATAAAAGTTAGACAAAGTGAAGCCACCTGCCCAAGGTTCACGGCAACCGAACAGAGGAGCTAGGGTCTGAACCTCAGGCCATCACCCGCTGAGAGAGTCGGGGTCACTAGGTGGCCAGATCAGACTTGAACTGGAGCCTGCCTTGTCCACGTGTGACCAAGCCTCCAACCTGCAAGGAGCTGACTTACCTATGCCATAAATTACTGGAAAGTGGTTTTCATTTTCTTCTCGGTCATTTAATTCTACAAGATAAAAAAAAATTTTAAGATACAATTTAAAAGAAATACGAAACAATTGTTTGAGTTTTGTACAGTAAAGACCAAGAAGGAGCCCTCATTGCAAAGGGAGAGGGGGAAGACAGAAAAATGAAAGGGACTGTGGCCCTGTTTTCCTGCCGAGTCCCAGGACAGGCAGGTTCACGCGGAACAAACTGCCACACGCAGAAGTCAGTCCCCTCCATTCCCCGACTTCTCCATGCACCACGACTGCCACGCAAGGTGGCAGCTCCTCTGTGAGATCAGCGCCCTCTCCTTTCTGGGAGCACAGAGTGGCCTCTGAGAACCCCCAGGAAGGAGACGTGAGGTGCCCGAGGGAGTCGGCATGGGAGCCGAGGCTGAGCAGGATCTGGACGTGGGCCAGGAGGGGAAGGCCATTCTAGCGATGGGAAAAGCCCAAACAGGAGTCAGCAGAGCAAGCGACAAGCTGAGTGTGTCTTCTACAACTCATGTCCTAGTCCTAGGTCCTGCTGGAAAGGCGGAGGGCAAAACGGTCCTGAAACCCACAGCCTGGTTTCTGGGAAAAATGGCAGAACTTACCTGTCACACATAATGTCACTAAGTGAATGTCCTCTTCTTGTCCATCAAATTCACCTGCAATTAGAATTTTAAAGCTGGAAGTCAAAAAAGTTCCTCCTCTAGTTAGCAGAACACACTTCCGAGCAGCCAAGGGGACAGCAGCCGGCCGAGCGCTCCCTGCGTGGCCACAGCCTGGCGCCGCTGCCAGACCCTGGGCGCTGGCACTGCAGAACCCTGGCTGCCAGCCATGGCCACTGTCAGCCCCAGGCCCGACGGATGAGACACAGTCTTCCCATTTGTCTCTTCATGCTCAGAGGTTTTGGGGGACATACAGGTTCAGAAGAGAAGATTTTTACTCTTCAAGTAACCTGTTTTTCCTGATTATCAGGGCTGTTAAAATCTGGTCATTGTAAAAGATTTGGAAATTAGAGAATATGAGGAAGTTGGTTTTTAATGCCCACAATACTAATAGTGTTGCTATTCAGTGTATTTTCTTCCATATTTTTCTGTGTCCAGCTGAGCTCAAACTGTAGAGATAATTTTAATTTTATATTCTGATTTTTTGTACATATTTTCCCATGTAATTCACACCTCTCTGTGTTACTTTTTAGTGACTGCATAATTCTGATATGATTATTTCCTACTGTAAATAATGTCCTACTAATTTGGGAGCATAGATTTCTGTGCACATTTAAGATTATTTTCTTAGAATACATTCCCATAGGGGGAATTACTGGGGTATGAAACCTTTTTAAAGACTTAAGGCAAGACACCAAATTGGTTTCCCAACGGGCTGCACCAGCGTATTCTCCGGCACCATGAGTACGCCTGCCTCACTGGCTGGTGGTTAAAGAACACACAACGTCTTTTTCTTTCTCTCTCGTTTCGAAAATATTTGCTAATCATAGAGAAAAAAATGGTATCATTAGTGCCAGGTGGTTCTGTTTTTATAAAGTTCAGAGCATTTACTATTCTGGAATGTGTTGACTGCTATTTTAAAAGAAAATCTTGTCCCCGTCCTATTATCCCCTAGAAATTAGCTCTAGGCTATCCTGTCTTCATGTAAAATCCCAAGCTGAACAGTCCTGTTTCTTTATGTTGCTGCAAGCAGGTGTGCCCCTCTTAGGTTTTGTACTAGTTGTGATCTTTCTTTTTTGAGACAGGGTCTCACTCTGTCACCCAGGATGGAGTGCAGTGGTGCCATCATAGCTCACTGCAGCCTTGAACTCCTGGGCTCCAACCATCCTCCCACCTCAGCCTCCCAAGTAGCTGGGACTACAGGCGTGAGCCACTGCGCCTGGCTAGTTAGGATTTTTAATGCAAGCAAAAATAGATAAAAATTTTTGTCAGATATGGGGGAAAAACAATGAACTTACTGAGAAGCTGATGAGTAAGTTTTTGTGACAACTGCCTGTCGTCACTGAAGCCTCCCACGAGGTGCAATTCCAGCCTGGTGAAGAGAGGGGACAGTGGTCAGAGGCCAGAGCAACACACCAGCGGCGCACACTGGTTCCACCTTTTCATTCTCAGCTTCCGTGAACCCCCCCACTCTACAGCAGCCCTTCCGGGTGTTCTTTGTGCCCCGGCACTCGTGGAAACATCTGTGCCTGCCAAGGCCAGCGGCAGGCTTCTGGGGACCCTGCCCCAGGGGCCCTGACGCCCGAGTGGGTCTGTGTCTGCACCCAGAGGTGGTGCTGCCACACGATGGCTGTGTCGTGTCATCTGCCTGCCCCAAGTGGGATGTGCCCCAAACCCTCCGTATCCTGGCCTAAGAGGGACTGGGGTGTGAGACTGGGACGTGAAGTGAGCGAACATCTGCTAATTCAGAGCCTGCCCCCCTTAAGTAGGCAGTCCCGTGTGCTGCCTCTTTCGATGTGCTCTGCGTCCTGGGCTGTTCCTGACGCGCATGCTCATCAACCCTGCAGCAGATGAACATCAGCCCCGCGAGACGGGAAGAAACGTGTTCTTAGAGTCAAATAGGCTTGGGAGATCTTGCCACTGTCACCCCACCCTGGAAATCGCATTGCACATCAGCACAGCAAGGCTCTGAGGAGTCCCGAGACTGAAAAAAATGGAACTAAGTTTGTTGAATCCAGTTGCCCACACTCACTCATCTACTCCTCCCCTCTCACAGCCCATAACCACCTGGACCTGGTGCTGGGCAGTGCTGCCGTATCGCTTGCTGCCTTCTGCTGGGACACAGAATCTTCCTGAGCAATGAACCAGAACCTTCTATGTACCCAGGACAGGGCACAGCCTCAGGCGGCCCCATAATAAACATTAGCTCTTTGCACTCGGATGTCGAGTGTGGATAATGTCAAGTGGATAATGAGAAAAAAGCGAGTGCAACGGGTTAAATAGGAAGGGGAGCAGTTACTGCTGTGGCTTTGCTCGCCACCAGGTTTGTCTTCTGACTTCCAAAGTGACCACGTTAGCTCTGCTGTGAACAGACCAGGAATAGCTAACAATCGTGTTCTGAAAATCATGGAGTCTGGCCTCTGGCCAGGTCTGATGACATAACCTGCGGGGGCCAGTGCAAAATAAAAATGCCATTTTGTGACTGCATGGGTCACATACCCATGAAGCCAGCCCAGCCTGTGGCATGGACCCAGCCAGAAGTAGAATTAAATTTAAAAACTGGGCCAGGCACAGTGGCTCACACTTGTAATCCTAACACTTTGGGAGGCAGAAGTGGGAGGATCACTTGAGGCCAGGAGTTCAAAACCAGCCTGGGCAAGAGCGAGACCCCGACTCTACAAAAAGTAGTTTTAAAAATTAGCTGGGTGTGGTGGTGCACAGCTGTAGTCCCAACTACCAGGAAGGGTGAGGCAGGAGGATCACTTGAGCCCAGGAGTTGGAGGTTGCAGTGAGCTATGATGGCATCACTGTACTGGGTGACAGAGTGACACCCTGTCTCAAAAAAAAAAAAATTTTTTTTTAAATTGGGGTGGATTCTTAGCTCATCAGTCAAAACAGCCCTTCTCCTGGGAGCGTGACTGGATTTCCAGCCCCTTCTCCTCACCAAGCTGCTCTGGGTACAACGAACACTGTCCAGGGGCGGCACGCTGACAGCCCTCACTTCAGCATTACCGAGTGTATCCAGTGACAAAAACTTTCCACCCTCTTCACATTTTAAATTGAAATAATAATAATAATAAAAAAATTGACCTGCACTGCACTAGCAAAAGTCTGACAAAGCTTTTTCTTTTTTGACTCCTGGGATTCGAAGCATTTGCATGTGACTGAAGAGTTCACTCAACGACTACCTCACACTACAGGCAAAATGAGTGCCGTGCCGGCCCAGTCTACGTAAAGAGAGGTGACAGTGGTCAGACAAGGTGAGGGGACGGGTGTGTGAGCATGCTGTGGCAGCCCGGCCTGCGCCATAGCTGTGTCACTCCGCCTACACTCAGTGTCCGGCTCTGTCAGCTGGCGGCAGCGTACGCCTCGCTGAGGGGTGACAGGCGTTGATGCTGTAGGGGACAGCTCTCATTCGGCAACCCACAAACGCGCTGAAACTTCAAACCTTGCCCCTCGCCCCCCAGCCATCCCCTCCACCGTCCCCTTCGCCACCGACCACCCCACGCCGTGTGCTGTCTCCTCGCTTTAGAGAACTGACACCTCAGCGCAGGTGTTTCTGTGCTCTGTTCGCTGCTACGTCCTTGGCACCTGCAAGTTGTTGCTCATGGAGGCATCCAGCAAATAGTGGCTGGGGGAAGGCCGGGATGAGGGGCTACCACATCTGGGGTAACAAGAAGCAACGACTGATACGGGAGCATCTAAAAGTTCATGACTGCAGTGGGTCTACAGGTTCAAAGTCAAACCTTCCACCTAAAACCCAGCCCTGAAGCCCGGCCTGTGCCCGTCGTCCATGCATTCACTCCACAACCACGGACGCAGCGCCACCGCCTGCCGACTCTGCTCCAGGGAGACCAGACACACACGTGGTGCTGTGTCACTACAACAGCTTCCGGGGCCACTTCCTCGACACAACGGCGTGAAGTTCCCAATGCACATAACAGAGTAGCGTGGATCTCACCTTCCACATTGAGCGTGGTCGGAAAAGGATTTTATGGAGTTCATGATCAAGGGGACCTCAGCTTTGGTGTCGCTTCCGTCACAGTGTGTCAGGCAGGTAGCCCCATTACCTGAAGAACAAGGGTGAAATGACTCGTGTTATTCCGGGTGGGAACTCGGCAAGCCAAGGCTGCTCCTGTCTGCTCGGGCCGCCTCGTGTCTGAACGTCCTGTAGGAAGAAAAATCGAGAAGTCTGTGCTGCCCAGCCAACCCATTCTGACCAGAGCAACAGGGAGAGACCATGCAGACTAGAAGAAAGGTAAGTGAAGTCAGGTTTCAAGTAAGACACCAGGAAACTCAATGGTGGTGAGAAATTAAAATGGTCCCAAATGTTGGGTCACTTTAAGCAATGGTTTCCTTCACCTCTCTCGTCATACCTGTGTGCCTCAGGACCACAATGTGACAAGTGGTGGCATCATCAGAACCCAGAATGGAGATGGAGCCTGTTTAAAAAAGAAATAAAATAAAATATCCAGTAGCCTTTTGGGATAATGCCCAATTCACTGCTTCCTAACCTACCATCCTTTGGGGAGGTCACTGCAAGCTCTCTTTGCTGAACATACAGAAGGCCCTGGGGTCCCATGTGTTGAACAGACTGACCTCTGAGAAGTCTGGCTCTTTCCTGTTTAATTAAAAAAAAATAACATAGTGATGTAAATTAGTGAGGACTGAATAACTGGAGTTGGAGAGAGCCGAAGTGTGCTCTAAGTGGGAAACGCACTAGGGTGTTGGAGGTGAGTGTATTATTTGGCAGAAAGGATAAAATCAACAGCCTGCAATAACACTCATTTGGAACAGTGCAAAGACAACAGTGAAGTTCTGGGGGCTTTTTTTTTTTTTTAACCTATAAAAGAAGATTTCACAGCTCCTATAAGATACAAAAAATCTTTTCTCACATTTCTTTTTACAATCAGATCCGACTGGATATTGGATACGGTGGCTCAGAGACCACGTATCCCTTCCTAACTTTCTTTCTAGAGGAAAAAGGTTAAAAACTGCCCCACCCCCTAATCTAGTAATCCCACTTCTGTAAATCTGTATTAAGGAAATAACTCAAAACTTGTTCATCACCCTGTTACTTAGAATGGCAAAAAGCCGGGAACAGCCACAGAAAAGGTACGTAAATTATGTGGAACCAACTCACAACAGTCACGAGAAATGAAAACCCCGAGAAAAATAGTTTTGGAATGTTAACTGAAAAGCAAGATACAAAAGTAAAACATTTTTTAAAAGCGCTATCAATATGCTGTTACTACAACAATGACTAATTGCTTATATACATAGGAAAAAATGCTGCAAGGAAATTCACCAGCGGAACGGTGGCTGCGTTACAACAGATCAAACACGGTGATTCCACCGTCGCTGCTGTCTTGATTCTCTAAATGTTCTAGGATGTAGCTGTGTTATTATAGAAGTAGAAAATCAAAATGGATAAGCAGATTTATGAAGGTTATGTTCATATCAGGTGTCAAAAAATCTGCCTAACCGAATATCTGGAAAAATCTCTATGCCATAAGCCTGTTCAAAAAAAAAAAAAAAAAAAGAAGAAGAATTCAGGTGGTTAAATTCTTTAATAAAAAACTAAAACATTTCTTTCCCAAAACTGTTAACTTGACACAACACTGAAATGTACTGTAATTTCCTTCTTACTTGCAATGTATAAACTCCTCGATGAACCAATTCTTACTCGATGCCCGAGAACAGGCATGGTCTGCACTGGGGGACGGTTTTGCAGTCTTAGCCTCACACGGGCTTCCTGCCATTTCTCCCAACTGCAACTAATTTAAGTTAGTGCTGACTTAATAAAATACAAGTGATGGAATAATATAATGATCAGCTTAATTAGTTACAGTGTTTTCTTCTTTTAATAAACTTCCATTAATTGGAAGCAAGGCAGCAATTAAAATGAGGCGAGTGAGCTGCAGTGTAAAATTAGACTGGCAAGAGAACCTCGCTCGCTCTAGACGCGAGAAATAGATGTGGCCGACTGTTAATCAGCAAAGGCTTTTCGTTTTCATACCACTTCTCAACTTAATTGAGAACGTGAGGGAGAATTCAGAATTCCCTCTTTATTATTTCTTGAACACTTACCTCCTGCTTTGTTCTCTGGGGGGAGAGGGGGGAGAGTAAAGGTCAACTGTGACCACCCATTTTCACAATCGGGTCACCACCCAAAAGCAAAGCTGTTTGTGAGAAATGAATGATCACTTTCATAAAGACCAAGGATCAAATCTGTCTTCAACACAGCTCCTACTGTTTCCCAAAGAAATAAAAGCAAAAATGATCAGAAGAGATAATATCACAGAAACTGGAATAGTAGTTGTGCTGCTTTGCTCTTCCACGTTTTAAGAAATGAAAAAAAGTTTAGTCTAACTTCTCTTGGGGAAAACACACAGTCCTGCTTTATAAACTCACATATTTTCTGAAATAAAAGCACAGTTTTCTTAACTTCTAATATTCCCTGGACACTAACATTCTCTAAAAAAAAATATTTTCCCTCCATCCCTCATCCTCTTTTTCTAATTCCTAATCAATGGCACTAATCTCCTTAACCCAGGGGTCAGAAAACTTTTTTTCTGAAAAAAGGGCCAGACAGTGACTATTCTGAGCTTTGCAAGGCCGAAGGATTTCTGTGCCAACTACTCAAGTCTGCTCTTGTAGCGTGAAAGGAGCCACAGACGATACCTGAACAAACTGAACGGGCTGCGTTCCAATAAAACTTTATCAGTTACTTTGAAGTCTGAGTTTCATATCATGAAATATTATTGTTCTTTTGATTTTTTCCCAATCATTTAAAAGTGTAAAAACAGCCAGGCACAGTGGCTCACACCTGTAATCCCAGCTCCTCGGAAGCCTGAGGTGGGAGGATTGCTTGTAGCCAGGAATTTAAGACCAACCCCGGGCAACACAGTGAGACCCCAGTTTCTATAAATTTTTTTTTTTAAATTAGCTGGGCATGGTGGCACATGCCTCTAGTCCTAGCTACTCAGGAGGCTGAGGCAGGAGGATCACTTGAGCCCAAGCATTTGAGGCTGCAGTAAACTATGACTGCACCACTGCACTCCAGCCTGGGCAACAAGAGACCCATGCTGTCTCTCAAAAAAAAAAAAAAAAAAAAGGAAAAACCATTCTTGGCTCACAGGTTATACACAAACAGGGCTTGGCCCACAGGCTGCAGTTTGGTGATCTGTGTCTTAGCCAATCATGTAGCTGTCACCTCCTGGATTGTCATATATCCTGTGCCCAACCCACTGCCATATTTGCCAACTCTTTGCTCATAAATGGGAGAGCGAGTATGAACGTGCTTTTTGAACTGGAAAGCAGGGTGGTGTGGCAAAATTACTAACAGGTGTAGTTCTCCAAACTGAACCTTCTTTCTCACTCCCATACCTTAGCTCAGCCCTTGTCTTCTAAATTACTGCAATATAATTTATGAGAAGGTACAGGGCAAGACAGCCTCCCCCCACCCCTGTGACCTTGGACTGGGCATGCTGCTTGGCCCCCTGGGCTTCCACTTCCCACAGTAAATGGGCACAATGGTGCCACCTTAGTAGGCTGGGTGGGGAGGATGAACTGAGAGGAGGTGTGCAGGGCTGTGCTGCGCCTGGCCCCTGCCGATGGGCCATCCCCACCTCCCTTGCCCAGTCTGTCCCACCCGATGGCTGCTAGCGTCCTTGCTTCAAGACACTGATTCTGTGACATCACTTTTCTACTCCAAAACCTGAGTCCGGCAATTTCACTTGCAGGAGTGATTACAAAGGATGATAAGGATTTCGCTCTTAGACTGTGCACATGGGTGAAACATCATAAATACCTTCCATATTTAAAAGCAGGAACTAAGTTATGCTATATCCCTATTGTGGAATTCTATGGAACCGTTAAACAAGCTGTTGCAGGACTCTGGTAACATAGGCATGCTGGGGAAAAAAAAAACAAACAAAAAACGACCAACCAACAAACCAAAAAAAGATGTTGCAGGGCTGGTCATGGAGCATCCAGTGACCAGTGAAGAGAGAAGGCTCTAGAAGCACTGTCCAGAGGAACTTTCTGCAGGGATAGCAATGGTTTACATTTGCACTGTCTCATACAACAGCCACATGTGGCTGCTCATTGCTTGAAATGTGGCTAGTGTGACTGAGGAAGTGATTTTAGATTTCATTTAATTTTAATTAATTTAAATGTAAGTACCCACATGTGGCTCATGGCTACTGGACTGAATGAATAGTGCAGCTCTAGAGTCTAGGGCAGCCCGCCAGGGTGCCAATCCCGGCTTCACCACTTACAGGAAGGGGAACTTTGGGCAAGTTACTCAACCTCTCTTCACTTCATAGTCCTCATCTGTAAAATGGGAAGAGTAACCGCTATAGCTGTGGCATTCAGCCAGGTCCATTGTATTTCTGTTTTTCTTGTCTTTGTTATATGCTAGCCATAGGGACAGAAAGGCTTACCACTGCTGGTACTGCATACTCGGGACACATTGTTACATGAAAAAGATACACTATAAAACCATATGTAGTATGCTACCATTTTAAAAAGTATATTACATACAAGAAAAACCTCTGTTAGAATAGTCACCAAATTGTGAAGAATGGTTGTGATCATAGATGGTATTTCTTTTTAATATTTACATACATTTTCTATTTTTCTACAACGAGGACACACTTGTTATATATAAAAAAAAATTTAAACTTTTCATTTCTTCCCACTGCTAATTAGGTGAAGGATCCATCGAGGCCCCTCAGCAATCCAGGTCCAACCTACAACCCTTGCATTTCTCTTCCGTTCCTACCCTTCCCACCGTGCCAGGGAAACTGCCCAGTCCACCTGCCCACGTGGCCCTTCCCCTCCTGCCCAGCAGGCTTGCCTGGCTAGAGCGCCGCGCCCTTCTGCCCAAACCTCGCTCAGGCCTCCATCCTTCCTCCCTTTGCCTGCTGCAGTGACCGCCCCTCCCCATCCCACAGCCTTTATGGGCCGCGTCTTCCTAAATAGGCCAAAACCTCTGAGAGGAGCCACCCTAGTAGGCTGCCACATTCCCACTTAGCGTGCGGCCTTGGGCACTGATCTATCACACAAACTTTCGAAGAGACAGAAAAGTAGAGCGTCACCTAAATTCTTCAGGTGGCTGAACGTTCTTTTTTCCTGGGTGAGTCCTGCTCTTGACTTCGCCAGTTAACAGTGTGACAGTGGCATAGTACAAAGAAAGTGACATAGCACAACGCCCAGCCCAGTAACTTGTTGGCTACTATTACTACTGTCTGTCCTGAAACGCAAGTTGAGGATTACACAGAGCTGACTGCCGTCTCCCTGTAAATCCTTGTCATCCTTCCGACCGTGACCGTCTTCAGGGGTCATTTTGTTCATGCATTTACGCAACCAATTTACCGAGCATAAATTCGATGCCGAGGACTCCCCTAGGCTCTAAGGATACCCAGGTGAACACATACACTCTATCTGCCTTCAGGAAGCTTGCATTCTGGGGGAACAGACCAAACGCAAAATAAACCAAGCAAGCAGGCAAAACAGTTAACAAAAGCTGTACAAGCCTTACGGAGGAAGCCTCTAGAATGCATTCCCTAACCCCATAGCCTAGGTCAGGTTTCTCTGCTTCACATCTCAGAGTGAAGGGGGGCACCTTCTCTTTATGGCACTTAACAGTTTATGATACCTGAGCCATTCCTGGATGAGAAACCATTCCCCCCGGCTAGACTGTAAACATCGCCACGAGAGTAGGGACAGAACTCACTCAGCACGATGCCCAACATGCATTTGGGGCTCAAAATGTCTCTCTTCAATAATGAACTGATTCCCCCTTAACTATATCTGCGGCAAGTGGAAAATTTGCCCCTGTCCCCTTTTTTAACACCAAGAACTCCCATTCCAACAGCCTCTGCGTAAGCATGAACAGAGTTCAGAGATCTGTTTGAGGGCAAAAGCAGGAAAAACAAAAACAAACCTTGCATCAGGGCGTGGTCCCATGACCCAGCTGGGGAAAACCAGGGCCCTTTCTTCTGGCTAAAAATAACCAGGTGCCCCATGTCCCGGGGGTAGGGGAGTAAGAGGAGAAGGGACTAGGGGTCCCGGCCAGGACACCCTGCTCAGACACTCTCTGAAGCCCACCCTGGAGCAACTCCTGCTCCCTGAGGACCACGCGACGTTCAGCACAGGGTGGGGTTCCCCAGCGAGTGCCAGTGAGCAAGGGCGGGTGCCCAGATTTGCCTAAACAGGCTAAGTCTGCACTGGGGGGGGGGAACGCCCTGCCCGGGAATGGGACGTCGGGTGTCCTCCAGCCGCGGTGCTGTGCGACCTTGGACAAGTCACCTAACCTCTCTGGGCCCCGTCCTCTCTTGTGTAAAGGAGGGGCCTCAGCGGATACCCTCAGAAGTCTAAAGAAGGTAAAAGCGTCGCGGATCCCGCAAAAGCAGCCGGCGGCCAGGGCTCCGGATGTGCCTCCGGACGTGCAGACAGCAGCTCAGCTGCGCCAAGTTTAAAGCGCGCCTCGGGCGAGAGCAGGTGGCGGCGGGCGGGTAAGGAGGCTCTCGCTCACCTGGCAGGTTCCCCTCGGGCCCGCCCCGCAGCCCCCGAGCCGGGCCCCGCTCACCTCCAGAGGCGGGTGGGCTCGGACCAGGTCCCCGGCGGACTGCGGGAGCCGCACTCGCCGCCCCTCCACGAGCAGCGGCATCGCGGAGGCGGCCGCCCGGGCAGGCCCAGGGAGGCAGCTGCCTCCCAAGCCCGGGCCGCCTCCGGCCGCCCGCCCCTCCGGCCGCCGCGCCGCGCCGCGCCCGCCCCGCCGCGTGCCGCCGGAAGTGCAGTCCAAGAGGGAGCGGTGCCGCCCGTAGAGGGTGCGAGAGCCAGGGCGGGCCCGCAAGGCCTCCCGGGAAATGGAGTCCGGAAGCGAAGAAGTGCCCGTGGCCAGCCTGCGCCGCAGGGGCGCTGGAAATGTAGTCCCCAAAGCGTGGGCGTAGGGAACGGGCAGGGGAGCAGCCGGCAAGGAGTGGCGCACGCCGCCGCGGAGCGTCCCTTTCCTGAGAGCGGCTTCTGGCGTCGCTGTGGGTCACTGCCCCACCACTTCTCGGGTGTGTGACTTCCGCAAGTTTGATATTTGGGACTCTGCTGTCCACCACGTAGGATTGTATTTAATAAGTAATACACGTAAACAGCGTTAAACCAGGAAGAGTAAGATCCTGAACTGTTAGCCTCACACATTTAGAAATCATCAATAACACCTGTGGTTGGCATCCAGCAGGCGCTCATAGACGGGCTAGGAACCCAGGGGGAGATCGCAGGATAGGCACAGCCCCTACTCGAGGCTGGTACCCGCAGAGTGGGCGTCCCACCAGGGGGTTTTCTGAAACTTGAAAATGCGTCTCACAGATCCACTCTGCAGTGCTTACCAAGAAGCAATTTTACAAAGGACACACCGGGAGGTAAGAAGAGAGCCATCTCACACGGAGCAGAAGCTCGTGAGAATTTCCTCACCTGTATTTACAGCCATCCTTCATACACATGCCCCGCTCGATAAAATACTGGAAATTAGAGAAGAAACTATAGAAGACAGCTCATGGGTGTCCCCAGCCCCAGCTTGCCCAACTTCTCACGCAGAACAGCTTATTTCTAGCTAGCAGGCGAGTATTTATGATACTACTCTTCATTTCACATTGCGGGTATAGTAACTTGCCCAAAGCATACAAATAATATAAAAGTGGTAGAAGAAGATTAAAGCCAGCTTTGTATGAGTCTAAAGCCAATGCTCTCCATCACTTTAATATACTCCTAGGTGGTAAAACCATAAACAACTCATTGTAATGCAGGTAAAATTAAATAATCCCAAGTAGGAAGCTCAGGGCAAGACCAGGGTTTGAATCCAGGTGATGTATTATATAACCAGCTCTGTGACCTTGACCAAGTTACTTGTCTGAATTGGTTTTCTCACGTGTAGAATAGGGATGATCATAGCATCTATTTTTCCTGGCATATAGTAAACTCACCATTGGCAGGCGCGTGCTCACGCTGTAATCCCTAGCACTCTGGGAGGCCAGGCGGGCGGATTGCTCGAGGTCAGGAGTTCAAGACCAGCCTGAGCAAGAGCCAGACCCGTCTCTATTATAAATAGAAAGAAATTAATTGGCCAACTAATATAATAGAAAAATTAGCCGGCTGCTGCGCAGCCTGCTATGTCAGCTACCTGGGAGGCTGAGGCGCAGGATCGCTTGAGCCCAGGAGTTTGAGGTTGCTTGAGAGCGCTGACGCCCACGCAGCTCACTCTAGCCTGGGCAACAAAGCGAGACTCTGTCTCAAAAACAAACAAACAAAAACACTCAATAGACAGCTGTTACTGGAATTACAGTGCAAAGAGTAGTCAATAAAAGTGAGGCATTTTGGAAGTGCAAAGATAAAGAACAATCTTCTGCCACTTCTGCGTGGGGCTGGTACGGTTTCCCTTAATGAACTGGTCTTTAACTTTTGAGTGATCTTTTTCCAAGTAATTTCAGAAAGTTAAATAAATCTCCTAGGTTAAGAGTGCTTCATCAAAAGATTAAGTGAGTCAGATAACAAGAAGGAAACCACCCTACCTTCCTCCCCACCCCAGCTCCACAAAGTTTGGTCTATAGGTAATGAGGAAGCAATAGCAGGTTTCTGATTTTGGACTAATGCCTCACAGCCTGTTCTCTCACCTCTAAGATAGGATATCTACGCTGCTTACCTTACAGGATGGCTGACTGCAAGGTACAAACAACATATATAGGGAAGTATTTTTTTAAAAAAATTATAAAGTAATTTTAAAATTACTGAAATTTTAAATATTTAAAATTATAAATTACTACTTCACCATAGTAAGTATATGACAGTATTCTACAGTGAATATGTAGCAAGACACGATTAAGTTCATAACTTGTCCTCTGGGAAATCATTAACTCAAGAAAAACAATTCACCAAAAATAGAAAGCAAAATCAAACAACCAAATACCAACACCAAAACCCTCCATGCACAGATGTTTTCACAGCTTTATCTATAATGGTAATGATCACCATGGTCACTAACTTTTAAGGAATGGTTTATCCCATCACAGCAACACCCTGATGTGTATCACAACTATTAAAAAAATGATGAACATCAAATATATGGGGTAAAAAACTTAAAAATAAAATTATCTACTTAAAAACATTATATAGAAACTTGGTAAATACTCAGTGAAAGAACCTAAATTACTGCATATACTATATGCTACTATAAGATCCATAGGGTCAGACTGAAATATAGCAAAGGAAAGCATTTGGTGGGGGGAAACAGTGCAGCTATGAAAGCTCAATTTTTTTTTTTTTTTTTGTGGTTGTTTAAAAAAGACTAATGTCCGGCCCGTTCCCCTGGAGATTGATTTAATCAGACTGGTCGGAAATTTTGGGGTGTGGTGGACTGGGCATCCTTAGTTTTTCAGAGCTTCCCAGGGGATTCTGGCACATAACCAGGGTTAAGAGTCACCATCAGGCTGGGCGTGGTGGCTCATGCCTGTAATCCTAGCACTCTGGGAAGCTGAGGTGGGCGGATCGTTTGAGCTCAAGAGTTCGAGACCAGCCTGAGCAAGAGCGAGACCCCATCTCTACTAAAAATAGAAATTAATTGGCCAACTAAAAATATATTTAAAAAAATTAGCCGGGCATGGTGGCGAATGCCTGTAGTCCCAGCTACTCGGGAGGCTGAGGCAGTAGGATCGCTTGAGCCCAGGAGTTTGAGGTTGCTGTGAGCTAGGCAGATGCCATGGCAGTCTAGCCTGGGCAACAGAATGAAACTTTGTCTCAAAAAAAAAAAAAGAAAAAAAACCAATCACCATCATAAGCACAGCCTGGCAGGGGTAACACACTGGTCCTTCTCCAGTTCAGACCTAAGTTGGTTCCAAGGATCTAATATGGAAGAAATGGAAGTTATCTTTGCCTTGAAAAGACCTTTCCATGAAAATGCTTCCTGCTTAGATTTTCTCATAAGGTAGCCAAACAACCATTATTAACTTACATGTAAGCACTGAATTCTCAAAACCATAAAGTAGGTATCAGTTATTCCCATTTTATAGCTCATAAAAGTAGACTCAGAGAGGTTAGGTAATTTGCTCAAGGTCAAACAGCTGGTTAGGAAGGGAAGCCAGGTCTGACACCTGTGACACTTTGTAAGTCACTAGTCCTTTCACATTAATATAAATTCAGCCACTTACTGAGGAATACTCACCCAGAGCACAGACAAAAGGATGGGCCCTGGAGACCCCTATAATTGAAGGCTTGGTTTTTAGTAAGAGGGATAGAAAATGCCCATTCTTCCATGTAATTTCCAAGGAGATCTCAAAAAATTTTTCCCTCATGTATGTTCCTTTAAACTATGTAACTTTCTTGAAGAAGTGTTTGCTTCCTTTACTTAGACCTGTTCAGGCTTCAGTCACTCTTGGCTGGGTGTGAACAGGCAGAGTGTCTGACACTTCAGATGATGCATGTGGCAAGCCATCCTCACCACAGCCTGCAATTGATTTGTGAACACTCCCAGTCACTTAAGCAATATTCTCCCCTCTTCAATGGTGAGGTCTCAGGAGAAGTTTTCCATTGCAAAGCCAAGCCTTAATACATTAAATTAGTTAACACACAGAATCATGGCTGGGTGCAGTAGCTCACACCTGTAATCCTACCACTCTGGGAGGCTACAGTGGGAAGACTGCTTGAGGCCTGGAGTCTGAGACCAGCCTGAGCAAGAGCAAGACCCTGTGTCTACAAAAAATAGAAAAATTAGCCGTGTGTGATGGCGCATGCCTGTAGTCCCAGCTGCTCAGGAGGCTGAGACAAGAGAATCGCTTAAGCCCAGGAGTTTGAGGTTACAGTGAGCTATGATAACACCACCACACTCTAGCCTGCGTGACAGAGCAAGACTCTTCTCTCAGAAAACAACAAAAACACCAAACCAAACCAACAAAAAACAACATAATCAAAAGAATATTTATGTGAGAAGTCTTTTTATTGAGGTACCTCCTTTAATTGGCATAAGAATGAAAGTTCCAGATTAACCATGTCACTATTTTATTTTCACAATGGATTTTTTCTCAAACTCCTTTGAAATTAAACAGACTTCTTTGTAAATACTAGCCCTATCCTTCTACATTAAAACTACTTCCCAATCCAAAGATCCCACTTACCATTAAATTCTGTAGATACATTTTCATTTACCCATTTTATCTAATACACAAAATCCCACCTTTTTACCAGCAGTTAAAAAAGAGGAACCTTAAGGTTCTTAAATGACTTTCTGCTAAGTCACCAAAAGAAATATACCACCAATACTCAAACCTTTTAAAGCAATAAAAATTTCTATTTTACAAAAAGTATTTACAGACTGAAATTCAAACTCTACATTGCCATCAGTGAAATTATACAAGAACATACAAAGCCCTAGGAAAGAGTGTTTCATTACAAAATATTTGTGATCAAGAAAATATTGCTTACCTTTAAATAAATAGAAGTGGCAGAAAAATAAATATGCTTAAAGTTGGCCATTTTCACAAGTAAACTAAAAAGTACACATATAAGAAAGCAAAAATATGCTTGAGCTTCCAAATAGCAGCGCTTGCACAAATTTGTTATAAAGTGAGGGTGTCTTAGACACTCACTCTATGTTCAGTTACAAAAATACAAAAAGAAACTTGGAGAGAAGGATTTCCCCAAGCTAAATCCATGATATGCACAGCCATTAGACAAAGACTGCAGTGGTAACTTCGGTCTATTATTGCTAGCAAAACCATT